AGTGGCACAGCGGTATGTCTGCGGACTTACAAACAACGCTAGAATCCGGGTTTCGATACTCGTGGTGGGCAGAGCACAGATAGCCCATTGTGTAGCTTTGTGCATAATTACAAACAAACAAACATAAAGTACATCATAAATTTACAGTCTATACTAGGTTGATTTATTATTTGTTACATACGGTTAATTAAGATGTTACTTCCACATTGGCCAATTAAATACCTCAACCAGTAAGCTTTAAATATACATCAAATACGACAGAAAATACTTATTTGGTATTTTAATAACCAACTCATGACTCTCCACATATATATGATATATATCATTCTAAGCCAAGGAATGCTGTGATTTAGTCTAGAATTAGCACAAACAATATTCTACCAGTAACATTCAATAAGTACAGCAATTAAATTAGTTAATTAAAAAATCTGCATCATTGGGTGAGTAAGATGTGTAATTTAACGAAAGCACTATAGTGTATAGAACAGTTTTGGAATCAAGTAAATATATATTTTTTTACTATACTCGATAAATAATTACAATCACCTTTGGTCCTGTGATAAAGTTTGGGTTTTGAAGCTGGCGACCCGCGTTCGAGTCCGTGCTATATCTCAAAATATTCCATGCATTTTAAGCTGTGGGTGCATTACAAAAGTGTCAATGGTGGATAGTAATGTGCTGCTGTCTGGTTACCTTCATTATGATAAACATTTGAAAATTAGGGACGGTAGCAGATAACCTTATTAGCTTTGCCAAAATATAAAATGCAAATATTGTGACAGATATGCATAAAGCATCCAACGTATTTTATTGTAAGCTGCGTGTATGTGATGTGAAACAAATGAGATGAATAACGGAATCTTTAAGCATTTGCCAAGGTCCATGCCTAAGAAATTAAACAGTTACCCGTAACCCCACTGGACCGTTCTATATAACATACTACATTATAGGCATCTCAACTCACTTTGGAAATCAATTATATTTTAATTTCCTTATTTTTAACATTATACATTTAACATTTTAACAATAATGGAATCTTTAAGCATTTGCCAAGGTCCATGCCTAAGAAATTAAACAGTTACCCGTAACCCCACTGGACCGTTCTATATAACATACTACATTATAGGCATCTCAACTCACTTTGGAAATCAATTATATTTTAATTTCCTTATTTTTAACATTTCATTTGCGTTATATCATACAGTTTTACCTGTCCTTAGGAAGTGTCATGCTTGGAAAACTAGTAATTAAAATTATATAAAAAGAATCGCTGTCTCACTTAAAAGAAATGTTGATCACTTATTCATGGAAATTACAAATACGCACAAAAATATCCACTTAAATGTGTAACTGTTAACAATTTGATATCCAGGTCATATATTTTACCATTCTATAATTTTTTTTTATTAAACTTCCCTAATACATTTATTCAGAAATTTTGATTTTATGTTAAAATCCGCCAAATCACGTTTATAACTGTAGTTTTCGGTTTGTTTCTATAAGTTACGCGAATGTATGATTATTGTGTAAATACTAGTGTACTTTGGGTGTAAATAAAGAGTTCGAATATTACAATAAGTGTTAGCTAGGTAATGTGTTGCTTATTTTAGAAATACCTTCAACCACTACCTTGCCACTTTGTTCTTCTGGAGTCATTGACCGTAATCACGTAAGAGAGAGTCGTGAAAGCCTGGGAGGTGTTAATATATTTTCTTTTTAGTTGTTGATTCAGTTAGTAGGTTTGCGATTGTGTCTTTCATTGTTTTAACTGTGAGACAAACAAGAAAGTGACTTCTGATTTTATCATTAACTTCGGATCAAAGCAAGAACTAAAAATTAACCAGGCAATTAACAAAGAAAATTTATTCAACCGTTCTAACTTATAATGATTGGAATTGTATTGTTTCATCTATTGGGTATCCCTACTGTTAACGACATTATCGGCCATAATCCCAATAATGTTTCACAGATACGGACAGCGTAGGAGGTATAGGCTAGTCCTAAATGCATTTACTAAGCTAACAATTCAGAATAATCGTCGTAATAATAAATTAAAAATAATAGAATAAACAAAGTATATATACTGAACAATTTAACCAATACTGTTACGGAACTTAAATTATAGAAAAAAATTGAGTATAACTTTCTTACAAGACATATAAAATTGAAGTGTTTATGCAATATTACCAAACTGAGAAGAATAGGAGAAAACATCGTTCCCATTGTTAGAATAAAATCAGTTTCGTTCCCCTTTGTGAACAAAATCATGCGCATTGGAGAATGCTTCTAGAGTTAGACGACACTGACTGACTCAGCTACAGTCATACTGATTTTCTATGCTAAATATTATCTCCATCAAACATTTCTTAAGTTGGTTTTTGGTTTACTCGTTATGTTTGTTTATGAAAATTATATTTAAATCTTAATTTGATTTTATTACTGACTATGTTATCACAGAGGTAATAAAATTCCCGGTATAATTATGAGAGTACCAGTATAGAGTACATTATTTCATTGTATTTATGGAGTTCCCCTTGTTCAGCAGTTACCAATCGAGCACTGTGGGAAGTGGTTAAACTTCAAGTAGCAGGTTAGATTCGGCATGCAGATATTATTGCTAAAGGTCATACGAAGGATGTAAAACTTAGACGGCTGTAGTTACTGAAACATTTAAGAAGTGATGGGAATTCGCTAAATTCGTGAAACTCTGTAACAAACCTACTCGAAGGTTAAGAACAATAACTTGTAGTTTTTTTTAGATTAACTATGGTTACCGTATTCTGTAAACGTGCACAGTCTTTATCAGTTTATGGTAAACAAGTAGTTTGAGTAGTTGATGAAAGCATTTAACTAGCTAGGGATTAATCATTATCCTCAGCTAGTAGAACACTTGCTTTGCATACAAGAGGTACCGGGTTCAATTCTACGATTAGAAAATGATGAGTTACCATTGACGAATTGGTGATTCAGAATGGGCTTTTACCCAGATTCTGAGATTAGGCCCAAGAGTGAGCCTTGTTTATGTGAAATGAAAAAATACCGTAGGCAGTTGGTTTATGTAGTTAAAAAAAAAGTACTTTACTAAAAGCTGCTAGGAGGTCCAGTGCAGGATTAAGTTTGAATTGGCCCCTATGCCCATAAGATTGTGTAACTCATTGTGTCTTCTTTTTCATCGTTTGTTCATAGGGCCGTTAAGGTCTCATCATATAATGAAAATTTTATGTTTGAGCTGAATTATTAAAATATATAGCTATCCATAGAGATTATGAACCGTATATTATAGACAGAATTTATAATAAAAAACTGTGATAAATTACAGGTTTCATAATATACCAGACTGCAAATAATAAGTAAGGTTAATAAAGAAAGAATCTGTTTGCCATATATTCTGTCAACAAAAATAGGTTAGTTGTTCATGAAAAACACGACTTGTCTATTAGTCTTCCCTCCCCAATATCGTTAATGGTATTAAAGATACAGTTGAATTAAAGGATAAATATAGAGTATGTAAAAGCTCTTACAGTTGTGGCTTGAATTATATCAGACAGACAAGTAGAAATTTGAAGTTTCGAAACGAATTAATAAACACAAATATGCCATCGAAAAATTAAAAACTAGCTATTCGGCCTTGGCGGAGTATGTGACCAACTCTTCGCGTAACATTGAATGGGATAAGGTTTAAATACTTAAAGAAGTTAAGCTAAAAAACATATGAGAATCTTTAGAAATTGTTAAACATAAAATGATTTTAAATACAGATCTACGCCCAGGTGCCACAGAAGTGAATTTTTGGAAACCTATTCATACATTCGCTTGTATAAAAATGAAATTTCCCGTGTTTCTTCTGGTCTTCTCAAGATAGTGGAAATTTTTTCACCGAAACATGTAGAATTTTAATTATATAGAGTTTTTTATTGTATATTTTGCTTTCAACTTTATACAATAAATTATTGTGCATTTATAAACGTTTGAAATTCTTACTTATTTTATGTAACAGTTTTCCATGTTACTGCACTTAATAGTTGTCTATCATATGTGGGCACGAAAGGAAATATATTTAACACTTGTACATATTATTGTGCAGCAAATTTGATCTAAGTCCTATATCAAAAGAGATGAACATCATTTAAGATTCTAAATGCTTTTGCTCTACTTACTTTGAATAATCTAATTAAATTATCAAAGCTGTGATTATTATTATTTGCTATCGTTAGTATATGATAATTTCACTGGCTTTTGTAATCGGTTTTGTTTAAATCGGTTGCGGTCTGGCATGGCCTATTGGTTAGGAGCACTCGACTTGCAATCTGAGGGTCGCGGGTTCAAATCCCGTTCCCGAACATGCTCGCCCTTTCAGCCATGAGGGACCTTATAATTTGACGGTCAACGCCGCTATTCGTTAATAAAAAAGTAGATCAAGAGTTTACAGTGGATGATTTTGATTAGCTGACTTTCCTTTAGTAGGTTTTAAATAAGTATTATAATTACCTTTCAAGCTGGGTCTTAATAAATTTTCAGTATAACTTTCAAATGTATTGAGCTTTATAAAGCTTGGTGCGTTTACATATAATAATGAAACTTAATATATGTCCAACTCACAGCCCAGTTCAAAATTTGAACCTGTTTCTAAAGCGTAGAATATTTCGCAATGCATTCTTGTAGAATACCTTTATATTGCGCAAAAATATTTGCAGATTAGGTAGTGGCACTTTTTTCTGTTCAATATATAATTACGCATGGATAACGAGAATAAAACGGGATCATTTACTCTCGAAAACATATACATGTTTGTTTTTAAAACCACATTAGTTTAACAAATATATATAGGTCATGCTGTTTGTTGGTGATCGCTAAACAATGGCCACGTGAGTTGATGTACAGGCGCCAAGCATTTGGTGGACACCGCCGGTGAGTGTCTGCAGAGAACCCTGGAGCATGCGTCATGCAGTAAAATAATCAATATTGACGTCTGAGCTGCAAGTACTGCATAGTAGCTAGGACACAGTTAACTCACGTCGCATCACAGCACTATCAGAAGGGCCATGGTAACCATTTCTTTGAAAGAATCTGTTTATCTCTCTTCACATATTTTTCAAAACGACGTTATTACAAAGAAATATGAACCTTTGTCTTGAGTTCCCCTCGTTCTATATTTATAAAATATAGATGCGGTGATCCAACACCCCTTTTCCTACTGAAACGTTTTACCCATTTTTCTACCTCAAGCTTCTTGCCTGGAATTGTGCTAGCTGGTTGTCATGGTTACCGAAGATCAAAGACAGGTGGGTTTTCTCAGATTGTTGAAAAACCTGAAGTTATGGGTTCCTAAAATAAGTACCACTAGGTTAATGAACCCAAAATTTGCTGTTTTAGCGAATGCTCCTATTTCCAAGAGAAATATAAATCAGTTTGATACTTAGAAATAAACAAATACTAGTATATTATCATGTTGTGTAAAAATGTGTCTTTATAAATTTAATTCAAATGTCCTGCGAGTGATTTATGTGGTTGTTGTATCTATATTATTATTTTTAGGTTTTAAACTCTTCTCGATCCATGTAGTGAATTTTTTAAACATTTAACCAAAACTTCGAAAGTGATCAGATGAACATCTCTCCTATGATTTGCATGTAAAATATACACAGTTATTCGTTTGAGTATATATATATATACTAGGGCCCCAATTTTTATGCCGCAAAAAATAAAATAAAATAATGTGGCTAATAACTTGAAATTATGTGCCACAGAAATGCTAGTTATGCAGAAACTATAAAACTTATACAGTTAGTATGCGGTAAAATATTAAATTAAGTAAACTTTACCTCAATTAAAATTTAAGATGTTGTACATAAGTAATACAATTCAACCATCCACAGCAGTATAATAATTTTGTTATTATGAGTTAACAACAAGAAACACATTTCTACAGCTTAGAAATGTTTCGACAGGCCATAATAGGATTGTCTAGTCAGTAGACAATATTTGTCCCAGCTACAAGAAACAAACTAAGAGAAATGATATAAATCCTGTAATACTGACCTAGAATTGACTTTGCTAGGCCTAGAAATTCACACTTTACTTATGCATTCATATATGTAAATTACGTACACAAAAAAGTCGCTGCGGCGCAATTGGAAACCTAATTTCTCAAACAAATTTTAGCTAGTGGATGGGTTAAAATCATATCAAACATAAAT